GCTTATTATTCGATATCGCGTGCTGCTACGGCCTCGTGAAATTTACTTGCACCTGAACAATGGCGCAATTCCTTGGACAGAGTTGAGAGTATGTAACGAGGGGGGAAAGTTCTGCATGATTTGTAACGTTCGGACGATTCTAGTTCTTCGACCGTTTTCATCGCTGTTTGCTAAATATTTAAATACTAAAAAGAAGACAATGAAGATAGAGATGAGTGACAATGGAGAAACTAAGAAGAAGGAAAGGTGTAAAAATCAGTAACTAAATTGAGATAATGGAAGAATCTAATTTTCTCTTGCAAACAGAACCCAACGTAAAGGAATCTATTTGCTCTAGGAGGAATGTAACATCCTGTTCTCCTTTAACTACGATTTCCAGTTGATCTTGTACGATGTGTTTGATGAAATTTAACGGAGCTCTTTTAGATAGATGAAATGCCATTTTTTGTTACTTTCAAAGGAACGTAAGGGCTGAATAGACGGAAAAAAAATTTGTAGCGATAATAAATTGCTAGGATGAACGTTAAGGGGTTAAACGAAACGACAAGTAAACGACCATTACAGCGAAGACGGTTGCATTGGTAACACCTGTATAGGCAGCATTCAATGTGTTAACCTACGATTTTTTTTCTGACTATGTTCAGTTTTAATCACGTCTGTATACGCAATTTCTGAAAATTTGTTATTAATATCCCGAAAACTAACGATTAGCTGCAGATAATATTTCACATTTGGAATCCACCCACCCTCCTCTCCCTTCTCACCAAATTTCGCGTCGATCGGCGACCGGAGTGCGTAAAGGGTTAACATTGGCGAGATAGACCTTTCGAATCACCCCCTTGAGAAAAGTAAGTATCTCTAGTATGTCGACGAGGCATCGTGGATGATTCAGTGGCACGCACCGAGGAGGAGAGAGAAAGCACAGTTTAGTGATCGTTTCGTTGGAACGGCGCACCTTGCCAAGATGAGTCAGCCCCCAGTAGCCGTTGTATACGTATAAGCGTACGAAGTAGTACGGACACACGTTTTCTCGCACGTGTTGGCAACGGCAGGCTGGCCGGCATTCACGTGCTTCGCCGCGGAATATTCGTATTCTAATTTAATAGAAGCCGGCATCCGGCAAAGTGACATTTCGCGTTGCAAGACCGCCGTTCGCGAATCCACCGAATTTTGCTTTGTTGCACAATGCACAGGGAGGGCTGTTGCATAATTAACTGCGAGCACATGACAAACTTGGAGAACGGAGATCGCGACGACTTTTTGCCAATTTGTTCGGTTCGTTGTTATCGGTAGGTTGGGGATTTTCGTGCAAATTCGTATTTTGACGAGTATAATTAAGGAAATAGAAGCTACTTGTATTATATACTTGTATTTCTGTGCCTTCGAATTTCCCACGAATGCGTACAAATCTGCAGTCTAGTTATCAGATTGGAGGTTAGTGGGTGTTGCCTTCGAATTTCCCACGAATGCGTACAAATCTGCAGTCTAGTTATCAGATTGGAGGTTAGTGAACGTATAGGGTGTCCCATTAATCAGGGTGTTTCTGTTATTGACTTTTGTTGGTTTGGTAACACACAGTTTCTACTATTGACATTTGTTGCACGATTTCGCGAATGTTGGTTGATCAACTTGGTCAGGTTGGTGTCAAATTAAAAGACAGTGAACATACATCCCCTATTATTCATTTTTGTCAGACGGTTTGGTTAATTTTAGCTGATGGATCCGGTTAAATATTATCAAATTAAAGATAGTGAAAATACAGGGTGTCCCGTTAATTAGAATCTTCCTATCATTGACATTTGTTGGACGATTTCGTGAATGTTGGCTAATCGATTCAGTTAATTGTTGTCAAATTAAAAGATAGCGAACATACAGGGTGTCTCGTCAATTCTATCCACCTCAAATTCTTTTATTATTTCAACTACAATAATAAGCGACCAACATTACCTACAAAAGTTAACGTAGGCATCTACAATACATGTATTACGTGTTATACGGGATTGAAAAGGAAGTTATGTTCGATAAATATTAATTTGATCGTTAAGTTGTTAAATTTGTTGGTAATTTAACGTATTTATTAAATTTACATAAATTACTATTACGAGGTAAATCTACGTAATAAATAGGATCTTTTGCACCGTTTATGCATTTTTGCTGCAATCTGACGTAGCAGCACCTAATGCACTAAACGCATTACGAAAAGCATTCCATTAATCTACATTATGCAAGTTAATGCGAAAATTGTCGCATAAAGCAGATTCGCTACGTTGAATAATGTTCAACGCTATTTTTCGGAAATTTCGAATCACCGTGGTGTTGCAAGTTACACGAAAATTTCTAGAAAATAGTTAGGCACTTTAAGAATATTTTGACAAACATTTTATTATTCAAATCAATCAAATTGCTATTGATCTCCGCAACATCAATCTCAAATCTATAAAGAATTAACAGCAAATGCAATATCAGACGCAAATTCAACGAAAATTGAAAGGTGAGCCCAAACTTTTGGCCGATATTGTGCACAACCGTACAATTTTAAACGTGTACTTTTCAAAGTTCTTCCAATTATTAACAGACTTATATTTTTCCCATGTAACCCAAAAAGGTAGTTTCGTGTTTTATTTTAATTTGAATGAATAATCAAAGTCTTTCAACAAATGAAAGAGAAAACTGAAATTCTTTCATGAAAAAAATAAATTGTACAATTTCCTATTGCAAATGTGTCGCAAAAAGACTCCAACTCTTTCCAAGATTTAAGATCATGGGAAAAGCACAAAAGATACATTTCTCAGTCTGCAATTAAGTATCACTCCAATCACGATAGTTTCGGTTCGTTTCGTAAACCGTTCCAAAGTGTTACGAAAAAGTGATTATTTTTAAACCGTAGCGCAGCCACTGCGAAACGATTTTCGCGGAATATGATAACAGAAAATCGCACGCGAATCTCGCGAGCCGCTTGCAATTTATTTTGCAAAACATTTCGCGTCTCTGGTCCGTGACTCATCGCCTCTTATAATTCGCGGAACACTGTTACGACATTGATTCTTTCCCGGTCGCGTAAACGGATTCGTTGCAATCACCACGGCCAAGATCTTCATCAAGGCAAACGTCAATGATACGGTAACCCTCGGCTATTACGCAAGAGAAAATCGTGTTATCGGTCGCGTTCAATGGGACACGTAAGGAACAAGAGTGAATCACGGAAACACTTTGAACGCTTGCAAACTTCCTACGATTCTACACTTTTCCACATGCTTGAAATTTTGTTGTTTTTATGTAATATCGGCAATCAGAATTGGATTCTTTAGGCTAATACGATGGCGTAAGAGTCCTTTATGTAACATGGTGAGGACACTTCCGAGAGATCTCCTAAATTATTTTTATTAAGAAATATGTTGCTTGTATTATTTGACTATATGATAGGGAGATTTTGCAAGAAATAAAAAAATTGCAACTTTGATTTTCTCGTCACTTTTCAATATCTTCTTTGCTGGAAAATTCGATAAGAATAAGAATAAAGGAAAATGAAGAAAAGAAGCTTAAAAACTTAGAAAAGTTCTTTTCTTAATTTAATTTTCTTAATTTAAGTTTGAGATTTCAGACATTGAAATCAACATGCCTCATATGTAATTTATTTAAAAAAGTACAGTATAACTAAATAAAATCTTTCAATTTTTAACAAAGACGTACAATCTTCTATTTTTTATTTTAAGAACTGCAATGTTTTAAATTTCCCCTGCACTAAATTTCTATATAAAAAGACTGAAACAACATACACACCAAATATCATAAATTTTAACACATTACTTTGCTCTATACTAGCACAAACTCTTTGTTATAAATCAATAAACATAAACGCATTCTCAAATACAACGTTCTATCATATTCACAAACATACACAGAAATCATCCGAATCTCCTGGACAAACGAGATTAAATGCGCAATCTAAACAAAGAAAAATGCAGAAAACTTGTGTTCGAAGAAATTCTTTATTTCCTTTTAAAAAAGTGGATACAGCCTGAGAAAATGAATAGCGAGGAAAAGAGTAGGGTGAATTGTTTTCCTACAGATTTACACACGTGTCGCGAATACCAGCTGGTATACAATTTTCGTTTTTTCTCCATTTTATAGCCAACGGGGAAAAGAAAGAAACGAAGTCTCTCTTCGATTCGCGTGAAATGAAAACTCGCCGTACGCTACCATCTGTCGTAGGTGTTCATGGATAAATTGGGTCAATCGGTTTCCGATCCTAATCCCGCTAGTGACGCATCATTCTTATTTACTGCGCCAGTTTTAGACAATTTCTAGGTGAATCGTAGATTTGTGGATTAATCGAAACAGCGGTTAGCGGAGTAAGTTCTGAATGAAATTTCAATTCCGGCTAATTGCGAATTTTCTTTATCGAATCTTGCAGAACTTGATTTGAGAGAAAAGTACAATTTCAAATGATAATTTATGTTTTCTTTTCGATGACAAGTAGCGGGGAATTTTGTCTCGTTTTAAGCAAGGATGAGCGAATAGCAATTGAAGCGAACCCTTTGGCAGTCTAATTTAAAAATATTCTGAAATGGCATAAATAACACGAACAATTTCTGAGATTAAAGAGAATTATGCGAATGAGTAATATAAAAATTTGATTGTAATTCGATGCAATTAAAGGATAATTTTCAACAATAATTTTGTATTATTTTTAAGCATGGTAACAAAATAATACAAAAATTCTTGTTCGATTTCATGGTACACTTCTTTTACAATTTTTCGCAAACTTTGAATCGTATTGGTACATCTTCAAAAATTAATTATACAAAATTACCCGACACGAAATTTTCAACACAAGAAAATTTTAAATTCTGTAAAAAGAGTCTATATATTTTTATAGAATCCACAATGTAGAAACAAAAGTGTGCAATTTCTTCAATGTAAAAATTGAATACTGCACTTTTTATTCACAAAAATGTTATCTTACGCCTTAGTGACAACCTTTATGCTTCTTCTCACAGGGAATAAAAAGCTTAAGGGACGTCCGCAGCTTTTTGTTGCTGTTGGCGGCAGTAACAAGTGCAAGTGCATCAAAATGCAGCAGACTCATAGATGGAACGACAATGTCTCGTTCCAGTGCGGATGAGAAATATCACTTGTTCGTCACACTGTTCAACCGAACGGAATTGGTCTTTTCCTACATGCCAAATACGAGATACAGTGGTAAGTGTTAATCAGAATTTTGTATTCTAACCAGTAGATTTTCAGGTATGCAGTGATTTGAGAGAGAAACGCAAAGAAAAGTAGATACTTTCAAATCTACGTTAAGATTTTCCAATACTTTTTTGAGTATCCTGCTTGAAATTCGTATCTCCTACAATTGGACAAAAGTAAGTCCACCGTGTGATCCAAAATGGTCTCAAGTAACCACCATAAAGACAACTTCTTTGACTTTTAAAGAAAAAAATTGCAAAAACACAAGTATTCAAATTTCACCAATTTCAAATCTTCACATAACGTGAAATAAATTTGCAGGAATTAGGAAAGAAATCTTTCAACAATTTTTTGGTAAAAGTATTACACATTTAAAGCCACCCTAATTTTTGTCACAACTTAATGTCAAAATTCTAACGAAATATTGGTAATTCTATTGATACTACTTTCGTATCATTTTAATGTAAGAATTAATTCAGTTCACTGTAATTCACTATTGTTCTATTCACTGTGCTATTATAGTTGAACCGTTTCTTTATCGTTAGTATATAACAAGCAACCAAGGATATTAAAAAAAAAAAAGGAAATTGTGAATCCAAAGTTAATCTCGATGATTCATCAATTCCCCGAGTTTTCCTTCGTCAGATTCTTCGATGTACAAACTTACAGGAGCAATTAAACAGGTTATGCATCGACAATCATGAGGGAAATGAGAAAAATTAATTTACGCATGGTTTGACCAAAACGTGGCTCGACACCGGCGTAATGAACTTTGTCTTGAAAAGTTAAAGGGAGGGACTTGAGTGGGGTCGGTAAAAGTTTTAATTCTCTTTGCGACTACTTTGAATAGTTAGATGGACTTGTAGTCGAAAGTACCAGCTTGCAAATTACTTGTTTGTTTGACGACTGCGACCGAGAAATTATTCGGCTGCAATGTTTGCAGGTATTAATCGAATACCTTGAATAAACCACAGAAAAATTGTCTATTTAAAAAAATCTACAAACGAATTCAGACACACCGCTGCGAGAGAATTCTGATTTACCGACGAAACGAGAATTAAGTACTCTAATTTCATTTCATTCAGATACTTCTTTTAAATTTGAAATATTAGACCAAATACATGTATCTGCTATCTCCAACTTCGACATAAAATCGATGTAAACTTGACACAACGAAATACACGTCGAATTCTTTCTTTTTTTTTTTAAACTACTGCGCTCCAAAATTTCATAAAAATCGGTGATTATCACTTCGTGATGTTCCTTTATCAGCGAAACACTTTTCAATAACGAGGAAATTTCTTTGTTGGTTAGAATAATTTCATTCATCTCGGAGAGACACTTTTCATCGGTAACGATAAATAGATTTGAGGTATCGTCGATCGCGATAAGCCATCGATCGTGTAGTAGAACTAGGCGATATATAGATCACCGAAAAGCGTCGTTGAACTCTGAATAGGCCGTGGGGAAGAAAGATCCCTTCCGAGCTCCTTCTTTCGACGATAATGACGGCAATTATAGAAAAAAACCGTGGAACCGAGGACATACTGTCACTCTGGTGTGGGGTGCCGTCGAATTCAGGACACACTGGCAATTTAACACTCGTCGAAAACTACCCTCTAGAGCGCAAAAACGAACGTGTAGCTTCTGGAAAATGAAGGTGTCCTCGTTTTCAAATTCTACACCAGGTCTGGGCTCAAAAAGTTGCCGATATCTTCTAGGGAAAATCGTGACATTGCTAATGATAACGATTTAGAACATTCTGAAATTCGATTGTAATTCGAGTGAAAATATTTTTAAGCACGATTTTTTATAGTAGAGACACTTTGGAATTACAGTTTGAAATATGAAAATAATTATACTTGTTTTTTTTTAATATTTACAGTTCGAGATACAAAGATAACTGTACTTCTTTTATAATTATTACAGTATATTGAATTGCAGTTTCATCGAATATTGGTCAATTACGATTTTATTCGACAGTTTCACCGGTTTTGATTATAGTTAGCAGACGCTAATTTTATTTCTATTTTACCGTGATTCTATTGGTTAACTTTTTATTTCTTGTCGAACTTTTGTCAGTTTTGTAATTTCTTTGAATTCATTTTGTGTAAGTTGTAATGAAATTTTATTTGACACCGCTTACAAACGACGTCGATTGAATGTCACGCGACGATTTTTGTGAAAGTTATTTACAATGTAATAGGTACTAAAAAAAATATTCGACGTGTATTTCTTTTTATCGTAAATCGTCCATATTTGTGAATTGAAAATGACCCTTAAAGCAGGGATGAGAAACATGTTTCCTTCGATATTTCAAATGACAGAGGAATTCAGCTGTGCAAATGAAAAATTTCAAATAACAGAGAAATTCAGGGGATTTGCTTAAATAATATGTTTAAAAATCCTGCTTTCACACATTTTTGTACCAAACAGTAATTTCATTTTTCTGTAAATTTGCAAACGTGAACTACAAACGAATGGGGAAAAAATGCGGATAAATTGAAATTTTTTATTCAAGTCTTTCTCGAAAAATTAAAATTGCTACAATAAATCTATCGTTTTGATTGGCGATTCTTAGAGACACATTATTGCCGAAATTTCGCGAAATTGGAGGAATTACGTGGAGAAGGATTACATCTGCGTTCGAATGAGCCCTTGTGCGGTGAAACTTTTCCTCCCAGGCAGAAAAAGGCCGCTGTGCCATTCATTGTTACAAGCGGTACAAGCCATTCCACGTGAAAATGCACAAAATTGCGGTCACAGTGACCGATTTTTTTCAAATTCACAGCATTTGTTGACGGTCTCGAGAAACTAAACCGCGTGAAATTTCAGCCCCCTACGTTGAACAGTTTTCGAGTTGTTCGATGTTAAAATCTGGAAAAGTTCAACGAAATGGGCCAATTTCACTAACAACATTTTAACTGTACACTTACAAACGATATATTATTCTTCTACTCGTTTCTAAGCTGAAGAGCACACATTTTCCAAATGTACACGTAAAATTTGATTAATATCAGCAAACGTAACAATAACCGAGATTTCAAATTTCCATTCGACGCCGTTGCTGTGCTTGGATAAATTTGAAAAGAATACCGTTCAATTTCACGAGCTTTGCCCTGCGAAACGTGCTTTCAGAAAGATGAATAGATTTCGGAAACATTAAAAAAAAAATGAAGTTTGCTATGCAGATAACTATGGCTTCGCTGTCTTCTGTATTTTTATAAAAAGTGAACTAAAATATTTGAATTTATCTATATCTCTACTCTTTTATTTGTAATTTACGTTTCAAAATTTACATAAAAATGCGACCAACAAAAGTCAAACTTGTGACATTTTATTCTAAATCTAACCGTGCGTGTCCGTTCGAAGTAGAGGTTCGACGAATGCGGCCGCACTGCCGCCATATTGTAAAGAAATTCAACGAAAAAAATACTTGTACATTCTCCAAGGATAATATAACAAAGCCCTTACGAGAACTTCTCAATTGACTGAATTATTCTGTTTGAAAAAAAATGCCAAAGTTAGGTATCACTATCAGGCCCGAGGATCGGTCCTAACCCCTTAAACTCTACGAAATCCACCGAGTTCGTCCTTTTCGTTGAACTTAACTTCACTTCAACTCGATCCCCATAAATTCTGTTTCACTCGATATCCACGAATCTACAAATTCCACCTCACTCAACACCACCAACGAACGTTACTCCGCGAAACCTCCATAAACCTTCTACTTCTTTCCAGCTCTTCTTCGCAAACTGAGTGATTCCATTTCACTCGGTAAACTCAAGTCTACTCTTCTCTCGTAAACTTAACTCCTCTCTCTCTCTCTCTCTTCTGTGCACCATTCAATCTCTCACCAATCGCAATTATATCTTTTGCTCTCTCATCCTTCACCGTTCGCCGGCGAATATCGCCGGTTCTATAGGGTGGCAAAAAAGAAAAAAAGAAGGAAGAAACAAAACCAAAGCGATCGACGAGAAATAGAGCACATCGATAGGCCCCGTGCACAAGCGACGAAGTTCATTCTTCATTCGCAGGCGGACGTGTCCGCGGGATTCACCGTCAATTACAACCGATCGATCGCGGGCATTCGCGTGCCACCTCGACGATTAATCGTGCTGCATGCATCGGGGAGGGCCGCGTTTAATCCACTTTGTCGGCTATCGAGCGAAACGCGCGATGCAATTATCGAAAACTAAGCCGGGCGCCGACGTGGACCGGAGACGATCTACGGCTACTAACGCATGCAAATCCGGCGGAGTCGGTGAATTAATGCGTTACGTAATACTGGCCAGATGCCAGGTGCCAAGTCCACGTTCGCGGATGCAGTTCAACGAATAGGACGACGAGTGCAACCGGTGCATCGGGCGGAATCGTGTGTAGAGACGTTTAAGCACGAGGAACAACGACACAATCGTGAGACGACGGATCAATTGTCGCGAGGAAATCACATGTGTGCACTGTTCACCAGGGAGACTTATCGTACGTTTTCTGTTCGACTTGTACAGGGAACGAAGGCGAACTTCCGTCACTCGTAAATCGTAAGCGGATCGTGTAATTCACGTTCCCCGGTTTCACTGTTTCCTAGGAGTATTCGTGGATACGTAGAGTTTCGGATCTACACTCCGGTTCGTGAGTACAGGCAACCCTCTTGTAACACGGTTAATTCGTATAGTAGGGTCACCTGTGTACCCAAAATATTGATGAAAATTAAGAAAATTAAGCGAGGCAAAAGTCACTATTAGACAATTATATCGATACGTCTGAATTTATTAACTGTTAATTCTGCTGAGTTAGTTTGCGTTAAGAAGAACGATGCACAGACTTCGCATTGTGAATCGCTGATAAAGAAGAAGAGAACACAGTGTCTTCCACTAATTTCGCACACTATTTAGAAGGTTGTAACTTCTTCAAAATTGGACCAAACGACTTGAGTTTTCTTGAGAAGTTAGAAAGATCGGTACACTAGATGACGTGTCTAAAAAATTTGGAAAAAATTTCAATTTATG